GCTTCTCGACAGTAATGAAATGCCATTTTCACACCATACAATTAAAGGTGACAACATCACACTTTAATCATGAAAGACGCTACTCCACCTATCATACCTATTCTATTCCACTCATTTAAATCACTCTTAAATTCATCATAAAGTTAATTATTTATCATCCAGATTACAGAAAGTCTTACTACATTACCGAAAGTAGTTAATTAACATAAGCATAAGCAAAAAAGTAACAATCGCGGAACAAAAAAAGGCAAGCATGCGTAAGACTACATTGGAAGCAACGCTTCATCTGTCGCACTTTCAAGAGAAAGCTGCTTTAACCATTCAAACGTTCTATGACGTGACAATGCTTGTTTTTTTGTCCGCTGCTGATGATGCTGATTCTTTGTCGAGTTCATCGTTCCAACTTTATTCTCTTGGAGTTGAAGTTCGTGGGCTTCGTTTTCACTGGCACTTCTCTTGATGAACACGACTCTAGGAGAAACTGTTTCTACTGCATTGGCTGAACATTTGCAACCACTAAATAGAACACCATTTTTGTCAAAGAATCTGGATTTCTTTTTGTTGTTACTAACGTTGCTAAAGTCACTACTGTTGCTGCTAGTGCTGTTTCGACTGCCGAAGTTCTTGTTATTGTTGTTATTCTCGTGTCGAATTTTGAGATCTTGCAATGCGATTTCTGGTGGGGTGACTAATCCCACACGGAAAATGCTCCAAAGTGAGGATTTCCTGTGGGAATTACGAAGATTTCCTTGCTTAATGCTCGATAAACGAAGCTGGGGTGTTGGACTTGGGTGGGAATGGAATTGATTTCGAAGTCTAGGGATATTATTTGATTTAATGCTGCTAGAACTGCCACTGCTTGAAGATTGGTGGCTTCTGATGCTGCTACTTCTACTGCTGACACTTGCGAACCCAACTGAATAACAACGATCCATTGATGCACTCCTAGAAATGCACCGGCTGTCGCTTCGATATCCGTTTAAGCCTTTCTCCGAGCTAACTGAATTACGCAGTGGAAGAATTTGGCCTTGATAGAAAACTTCATCAGCCGCACACATTTCGGATTCTTTCGAAAAAGAGCAGAAATCAAAGTCTTCTTGTATTTCATTGGTTCTTGGAATTGGAACCTCTTCTTTTCTTGATTGATTCTCTTCATTGATTGGAAGATCACACAATGACAACGCTTCTTCTTCTTCTTCTTCAACCTCCCCTTCCATTTCATTAATCTCAGTACATTTTTGCTCCATTTTCAATAGTAGAAACTAAATTCTGTGCAAATACTTAAGAAAGAAAGAGTTGGGCTTTATAGTTGACGAAGAAAACTAATTTTACATAGAGAGAGACAAGTGGAACATAATGATGCGAACAGTGAAGAGAAAGAAGATTAAAATAGAAGAGAAGTGAGTAGTGCAGGCAGGCAGGCAGGCGACCCAAAAATAATGTTCTTTTCTTGTTTGTAAGTTTAGGGGAAGTATATATTAGGCATATGGCAGGCCAGCTTTATACCTCAGCGTGCCCACTTTACTCATTCTTTCGAATGATTATTTTGGAGAAACTAGATTTATTTGCATGCGCTTAATGTGGGGACGCCTTTGCAATATCTCAACGTTACGTCTAAATATGATACAAATACAATATTTTAGTTCCCATTTTTGAATTGGGGTCCCCCTTCGACAATAGGTGGTGCATTTGGGTCTTCACCCGTCCGAATAGAGCTATCGCAATGTCCCAACCTTTCACCATTTGGCAGCTGGTGGTCTTCTAGATGAAACTCGTCCAAAAGACCTTCAATTAAAACGTGAGAAGATTGCTTCGTTGCGGTCCACATCAGCCAGAAAATGAAACAAAGGGGATGCTTTTTCATTGTTCGAGAGATTGAGGACCTAAATGTACCTTGTGTCAAAGATTGGGATTCCTATGCTATTAAAGTATATATACGGGTTGCAATTTGAATATACAAAATGTTGTAATAGTACATTCTCAAAAGACAGCCTTTTTTTTTTTTTTGTTGAGAGGACATTATTAATTTCAAGGATCAAGATTTCATTAACCTCGTCAGCAATTTATTCAGACAACCAACCTTACATTCTCTTAATGACAGATAAAGATGTCAGATTATTTGTATTAATATAGTTATAGATTTGAGAGAACTGGGTTGGCAAGGTTTTGAAAGAAGTGCCATAAAGTAGGTGACATAATAGTTGTAGTAATAAATGTTGACAATATGTGATGGAAAATGATATTTGTACTGAAAAATTTTTATAGAAAAATGACGGACATTCACACGAGGGTGGGCTTCATGTGAATTAAATATTGCCCAAAAAAAATGGGCACCACCTATTGTGTGCAATCTGTAGGTTGTCTATATAAATATTTTTTTTTGTACACTAAGCATCTCTCATAATTGATTTCATAAAAAAGTTGACTATATTTTAAACAATCCAATAATAAGTTGTCATGTGTCATTGTGTCTTTGAAAAAAACTAGAAGCTATTGAAGAATACTGTAAAATATTGAACGACGTCATAAGCTATCGAAGATTATTGTAAAATAGAAAAAGGGATAAAATTTTAACTATCCTTTTTTTTGTTCAATTTTTTTTATTATGTTATTCAATCTGTCATGCTAAATATCTCAAAGTGTATTTAATGAAATCTCAAAAGTATGGTGGCTACATGTGATTATTATGTGGTGTAGATTTAGGATGTTTTTCATTTTCATGGATGGCCTGTGATTGACTAGATGGGGTCACTCTTTTGCCCGTCGGTCGGGCTAAAAATGACCTCAAATACCACTTGATGCAAGCAACTTCAATGGGATAAGTGCATTCATCATTTTTTAAAGGAATATATATATTCTATAGCTGGCTACTGGCGAATCCGAGTAAACTATGAAGATCATTAACCCTTGACAATCGTAATATGGAGGTAGTTTATTAATATTTAATTAAATAATATTAAGAATTTTTTAACAATATATAAATACATTAAAATGTAAAAATCATATACATATGAAAATATAATCCAATACAAAAAAAAAATACATTTTTCAATCATATGTGCATGATCAAATTTTAAGTTTTTACGAACTCGAGCAAGACGATATGAGGTTTCCTAAAGCATGATTGAACGGTAAAGATAAGCTCCAACGTTATGCAAAATTTTTAAAACAATGATTTTTATAATTAGAACTATTTTTGACGCAAAAAAAAAAAAAGTGTATTTCGAACTATTAAAAAAATAAAGAGCAGTACTTAGAATGTCCAAATTTAAATTTTACAAAAACAATATGATAAAACCTAACAATAAAATATATTTTATGAAATAATAATTTTAGTCAATAAAATTCTTAAAGAAATTACTTCGAAAACATAAACTAATAATATATAATTGTTGAATAATTATTTACACCCTGTTTGATAATCATTATTTGAGAAAAATAGAGTTTTGAATATTGATTTTTAGGAGTATGTCTGAGTAAAAAATAGACAAAAATTTTGGATTTACGTGCAAATATTTTATTATGTGAATATGTAGTTGAAAAAAAAATATATATATATATTCAAAATTCATTTTCAACCACACATTTTTCAATAAAATAATATTACAAGTAAATTCAAAAATTTTCCTTATTTTTTAACCACATATTTCCTATTACATCATATTATAAAATGCATTCTTTTCTAAAAAATGTGCATCAGACTCCCCCTGAAAATAATAGTTGTCAAACATGGACTTAGTATTCTTTGACGTGTTAAAAAAATTAAAATGAGGAGTGAGTGTGAAAAGAATTGAACCCTGTGCAACCGCATAGAGAGCACTGTACTAGATGTGCTGCAACACCTATTGTTAAATTCTATTACCGTAATACATATACATATACATATTCAAGTTAAAATCTTCATTAATCCCTCTTTCCCATGGATCCAGCACAGGTGGCCGGCTCGCCAGGTCCCCTGTAGCTAGGTATCAATGAGTTCGACATAATCAAATTTTCGAATACCTCGTGTTGAACTCTTCAGCTTGGAACAAAGTTTTAAATTTCTAATACAAATATTTGTTAAGAGTTTATTAGCAACTCACATTGGATTCTTGTACCTTTAGAATTCAACCTGTAAGTGCATTGCTTTAATTCCAGTATCCAAAGTTAGGAAGAAAATGGATACAAAGCAATTCACTATATTAGTCAAAGTCCAAAAGGACACACATATCCAATCGTATTAAGAGGAAATTACATATAAATAGGTATTTAAGTTTTTCAATTCAAAAAATTAGGTGTGAAGTTTATTTCATAAAAAAATCATACATTAATTTAATTCTTAAATATTAATAATAATATTACAAAATTAAATTAATATACACACCCAACCCACCCACCCATCTATCCCAATCCAATTTCATGCTCAAACAATAATTCATTTCCCAACTTTTTCCATCTCTCTATCTTCTCTCTATCCACACACCCTCTATACTTCAGTGTTGACGTGAGATCGGCAACTCTCCAAGAGAATCAACGTTGTGGGGAGAGGACTAGCACTACTGCAAGAGAGCGGTACCGATTGCAAGACTAGCGCCACTGCAAAAGGAAAGTCGTCATGCGACCTCTACCTAGGAGTGACGTTGCTGCTGCGAAGACCTCTGCCTAGGATCGAAAAATGCCACCAGAAGAAGAGATGAAGTCACTAAAATATGTCGTGTGGCGACACTGTAACACTATTGCGCACTGTACTGAAAAGAAGAGATAATGTCGCAGGAATATATCGCTACGGCACACTCTACACGTTGCAGCTGATTGGAACTAGTTTTGGATGTGACAGATGATGCCAATGTGGGTACAATGATGGGATCTAGTTAGGTGGTGGTGATGTGTGGTTGTGGTGGCGAGGTGGGTGGGTGGTTGTTGTTTTGGTTGTGTGGTGGCGAGTAGAGTGTGGGACGAAGATTGTTTATGATCAATTATTTAGGTGTTGTGATGCGTTGTTTCGTTGATGGAGGTGGTGATTGTGACCAATTATATGCATTGTTCCATTGGTGTCGTCGCAGTGGTTGTGATGTAGCGGTGGTTTTTGGTGGTAGGTGTTGGTTTATTTCAAATGGTGGAATTGTTGTCGAGAGGTGGTGGCGGTGGTGTAGGAGGCGATGCGGCCGGAGGCTGTGGTGGTGACAAATTATTTGTTTGATTATGACCAAGAAATACGTAAATTATGATCAATAAATAATGTGACTTAAAAATTTGTTAATTTGTGGCCAATAATTTGATAAGTTTTTACCATATAATAAGTTTTGACTTATAAAATTTGTGATTTGTGATCGATAAATAAATCGTAACCTATAATTTTTTTTGATTTGTGATTAATGAACAAATTGTGACCTATGAAATTTTTTTATTTATGACCTCACAATAATTTGTGACTTATAAAAAATTTTATTTGTAACCAATTAATTTAATAATATGTGATCAATAAATAGATTGTGACATATAAGTACGTACATGTGACCATTAATTGTATAATTGTAACCTTAATATATTTAATTAATAACATATTTTTAATTATTTATTTATCACCTAGGTTTTGAATTTTGAAATTTTAAACATGAAAATTGAATTGGCCATAATAAATACCCGAGTTATGAATTTTTCCATTATATTAACGGTGGCTCGACTATTTAGCCTTGTTTGGTATAAGTTCTTTAAAATTAATTTTTTTATAAATTCATTATTTATCATACATTTTTTCAATACAATAATTTTATACACACTCATAGTTTTTTCTACTTTTTAACCATAAATTTACAATACAAAATCATTTTTCACAAATTTTGTTATAAAAAAAATTAAATTTCTTAATTATTTCAAAGTCGATTGCTATTAAAGTATAATAATTTACGTACTGAAGATAATTTTTCAGGAATACAATTTACGTATATTATTGGATGGTTCACTTTCTTTTAGTTACATTCTAACAAGTTGTTATGTACATGATATTTCACTACATGAAAATTTTGTACATCCTATAGAATATCTCACAAATGCCAAACTCCCAACCATTCTCCCCCAAATATTAATATTGGATGAGACTTCAGAGAATCTTCAAATTATACCTTAAGATAATCAATGATCATCTCAAACCTAAGATATATATAATCAATGTGGGATTCTAAGTTCGCATTAAAATTAAAAAACTAAAAATCACATTTAGCCCTTGTTCGGTAAAAAA